GAGAGAGAGAGAGACCTCCTCAAGGCCAGAACTTGTACGATGCACGCCTGGTCCCATGATGGCCTTGCAGTCTGGAAATGATTCAACCAGCTTGTTGTATATATCGACTGGCAATGTCGCTGTAACAAATAGATATTGTGCTGTAACTGGTGCAGTTTTCATTAACCTCTGAAGGACTTGTTCAAAATCTTCATCACCAAATAGCACATCCACCTCATCCAACACAGCACTGAGTGGAAACAAAGAATGTCAGTACATGTTACTTTTATACTTACTCTTTTGTCATTCATTTATAATGCCAATACATGCACAGCTATCGACAAACTAAATTGAAAAGTGCATGTTAATTGAACCGAGTAATGGAAGATGAGAAAAAGGAGGTTCAAACAAATTGAATCTCTAAACCACGAATTTCATGGATCTAGAAACTCCCTTCTATGTCACTCATGAAGAACTACAGAACAGTGTGCCTGAAAGAACATCTTACCATACGAGGTTGGTTAATTGCAAGAAACCTTCTTGGAGTAGGAAAAGGAAGCGACCAGGTGTTGCAATGAGCACATCTACGCCCTCCTGAAGATTATCTAGTTGAGTTTTCTGTTTAAAACCCCCTGTTGCAATCATAGATCTGAAAGGCATCCCAAATTTGGAAATAGATCTGCAACTATTCAGCACCTGCAAAAAGTAAGGCAGCATAAAACAACTCCATACCTACCACATAGCGATTTCTTTAGAGAGCACATATACTATGCTTCCACAAAAGCATACTGTCATCTACTCCCTCAGTCAAAGGACCTATTGGGAGGATTTTTCAATCTGAAATTTTGGGAACTACCTAAGAATCACTAGGAGATTATTTTGAAAAGAAAACATTTGAATTTTGAGGTTTTTGACACTTGGATCTTGCCCTCCATAATTTAGACGGTCTCTATTCCATCTTCAGACATTATTTTTTTCTAATACATAGAGAGTTTCAATTAGGATTTTTTTTTATTTTTTTATTGAGGTTAGTCTATGGGTTAAGAGGTTACATCCCCAAAATTTGGGGCCCTAGAATTACTCCTATATTGTGTGTTACACGAGGGGTTAAAAGGACAGCATACTTCTAAAGGAGTATAGAATCTTTTAGCTTCTTTCCATGACTTTTTTTTTTTTTTTTTTTTTTTTTTTTTTTTTGGGGGGTTATGAGTCAAGGTCAGGGGAGAAGGCCCCACCTTTTGGTAGGAATCGAGCATGCGACGTAGCATTGCTAATTGTCGAAGGGCTAAACAAGTAAGCCAGGGGTCTTTTCCTGTCTTTTAGCTTCTTTCTTTAGAACTTAAAACTATAAGACAGATTGACGCTATTTCCTCTGAATTTAAGGAAAGAATAACACTAGATCATACTTTAGAAAAAGCAGAATGCACATTATCCTAGAAAGAAGAAAGACTTTAACTCGCTGTGTCTTCTTCGGATCCATATGAGTCCCAGTGTCTTCTTTAAATATAAGAAAGCAGAGCATCTTCATGACAAAGGGAAGACAGTTTGCAAAACGAGAGTGATTCCAGAAAGGAGAATGAACCAGACCCTCAAAACTATAATAAAAGTGGAGGAGCAATCATATATATATGTTCAAAAGCTAGAAGAATATTTGGACAGCACCCAAAGGACTATATATTAGAAGAGAAAAAGGCCAGACAAGTAAGCACCAACCTGAGAAGCCAATTCAGCGGTTGGCACCAATACCACTACTCGAGGGCTACTCGATGAAGATTTACTTAAACCTTGGATCTCTTCTTCCCTTAGACATTGTATAAGTGGTGCCAGATAAGCTAATGTTTTCCCAGATCCACTTTGCTCAGCAATAATGCAGCTTTGTCCTTCAATAATGGGTGCATAAGAAATTGCCTAGAGGAGAAAGAACACAATTTACTGATATAAACCACTAGCAAAAAAAACGATGGGTCTTCCCAAAAGATCAAGCACTAAATATGATAGGTTAATTCTGTGCTACTATATCAGAAACAAAACATAATAAATTAAGAGAAAAACATAAATAGAGAGTATTTCAAAATTTAGTATCTGACCTATCAAATCAGGACTGTGACAATGGCAGGGATCATCTGAACTTACAGCCCAAATTTGTACATATGAACACATAGGTTGCACATCTTAACCGATACTAAGACAGCATAAACATTGCCCATGGAGACCAGCTACTCAATATTTTTTTTGACAGAGGTTCACGATCCAGCTACTCGATATTAGTTCTAATGTTACTTGATATTAGTTGTAGATCTAAAAGGACTGTGCATTTTCTTATTATCCACAAACTCAGAAGTACCTGAATATGAGAAGGGCGCACTATAAGTTGACCTTTGAGGCATTCGATCATATCATCACTACAGCCTATATCTTTAAATGCTTTCCGGCTAAAAAAGTCACCATTTCCAAAATCTTTTTTCTTCCCCTTTAAAGGTTTTGATAAATCACCTCTATTGTCCATTGGATAACCCATAACGTTCCATCCCTTTGACGAGTCAACTCTTGGAATAAAATCATGTTGCTTTGAAACTACTTGGGCTTGTTCATTAGATTTTAGAGAACGAGTCCTGTCCTTTGTATTATCATAACCTACCCTTGAATATGATTTTTTTGTGTATTGATTTATTTCCCGCTCTGAGACCATTTCATTACCCTCTACTGCTTGATGATTGGTTAAGCTTGGCTCACTGACATCAGGCCTATGCAAACCCAACTTGGTCTTTCTTGTAACATGTTCAACTTTTAGGGATTTATTCTCCGAGATAATTTCCCCTTCAATGTCTGTATTTCCCTGCTTCTTTTGAGCTGATTTTTTCATTAGAGCTCGTACATTGCTGGCCTTCAGTCTACTGAAACTACCAGAAAAGCTATCGTGAATAGTACTCTCACTGCTCGAAGCAACTGTAGAGAACTCTTCTCCTACAGAAGAAAAATATAATGAGTCTCAAAAACCAAACACACAGATAGTATCAGAGTACATTGAAATCACTAAACCTTATAGACAACAATGAAAACCACTGAAACCCAACTTAAATTTCCAACTAGAATCAATTTCCATGTTAAGCATTACCCAAAAATACTTACCCAACTACTCTTTATGAGAACTATGGAGTGTATTTCCATATCAAACATTCTCAAAACAAGTGTCAGAAAAGCCATTAGTTAAAGCCTCTATTAAATTTTAAATTGAAGGTGCAAAATTGAAACATGTATAAAGAACAACCCAATTTTTTGAATTGAATTCCATCAAAAATATAAGTGGAACATATTTGGTTCGCCTTCAGAATGGTTATGGCCTTCATCAAAGGTAAATTAGATGTCGTTTTATGTTGATGATTTAGGAATCTCTCAATGCTACCACAGTAAATAAGTACGCATTGCCACTTTTCATGACTAACCCTCCATTTTTTGCCCACTTTTATATAATATTCTCAAATAAACAACATTTCAGTAAATAAAAAAAATCTGCAATGCTGGTGTTTATAGATATCGAGCAATATTGTCTCGTATTATCCAACAAAAATATATTAATTAAAACAACAAAAAGGCTAATAGTAACTTTCAGATAAAGCGCGGTAAAAATTTTGTCATAGTTTCAGCTAAAATTAGGGGAAAAATAACTATTCCTTCTCAAAAAAAATTCATCTGATGTTATCCATAATCTCCTAAAATAGTTATTATCATGGAACCAAAAATTCATCTGATGTTATCCAAAATCTCCTAAAATAGTTATTATCATGGTACCAAATGAGAAAATTCAGAGACCAACCAGACTCATAAGAACTCTTTGCACTCTTCTGAACCCCAGAAGGCTTCCATGAAAGAACTTCCTTTGAAGGTATAGGCGATTCATCATTATCTACACCTCCCCATACAATGAATTTCTCACCGGTTTCATCATCGATCAATTCATAAGCTCCTGCCGTGCCCAAAGGTCTGCGTGTGTAACAAGAAGCCCTAAGCTGCAACTCCCTTCTTGGCCAGCTAAAGTGGAGGCACTTCTGCAACGAATTAGGGCAGACAAATGGCAAATGGTGATTACGCTGAGAAGCTCTGCTGAACATGGAGGTGTTAGATAAACTTGAAGGAGATTGGACAAGCATTTTGAAAGTTTTGGGGACGGAAATTGCAGAGAGAGATAATGCAACGGAGAGCGGAGAAGCCCGGATGAGCTCATACGTGAATGACCCTCGTAGTCTTTACTTCCTGATCATACTGTTTTCACCATCGTACTGATGAATTTGACGGTGATTGGGTAAGAGTGTCCGTACAATGAAGGGACATGATTGGTGGTACCACTCTCTGACGATCCCCGTTGAAACCACTGACGTGACGTGACGGTACCGTGATTTATCCTGGAAAGTATTTCTTTATATCCTTTTCTTTGATATTTGAGTTCTACATCTTTAAGACCCGTTTGGACATTCCATCTTTTCGTTTCGGGATAATGCTCCGCGCCCTTAAAGTTGCCTTGGAATAAGTGGCATCCCCACCGTTCACGAGTGCCGTGTCCGGAATCAAGGCCCCTTATCACATAAATGTCGTCAAATAAATCATTTGCCCCTTATCCATACAGAATAACGATTTCCTCAAGTGAAATAATAAAGGGAAATTATCATCTAACCTTTCACTAATTAATAGCTTTTTAACTATTGTTACGGTAATGTGTATTTTTTTTTATCAACATTTTAAAATTAAATTAAATGTTATTGGTAAAATGCTAGAAGGATAAGTACACCATCTACTTTTAGTATAAAAAGGTCACCCTACTCTTGTTCATTACATTTCAATTCATATGGTTATATGTCTTTAACTAGATTCGAAGTTCAAAGACAAATTTTTTATCTTCATGATATTACCTCAAATCATCCAATGTGACATCTGATAACTAGGAATAATTATGACCTACTTGTAACAAAGATAAATAGTCGCAGTATACAATCTCAATGTTAAATACTTGAACTCTTATGTATATTTTGATAAATTTCTCAGTAATAAACGCAGATTTTCATTGCTTTAATTGCAAGTAAAGATGTACTGTGAAAAGATGATTTCTTTGTTAAAGAAATCCCAATTGTTAAATTTCTAGTCCAATAATTGGGAGAGAATCATTCGCCTTCTCTGGCTATTTTCTAACAACTCCAAAGCCCCCAAAGTTCCTCTCTTTTTTCTATCTTCTCTCTCATCCCATTCTCTCCTTTTAATTACCCATCTTTTCTCTATTTTTTAATAACTTCAAGTCCCCCACGTCTCTCTCTCCTCCCCCATATTAATCTCTTTCGTCTCTCTTCTCCCCCTATCAACTATCTCTCTTTCTTTTTTAATTTCTTTTAATTTACTCTTTTTGTCATCTACTTCCCACGTTTATTCTCTCTCTTCCTCCTACATGCATAAAACAACATAAGTATAAATAACTCTTTTTTAATATAATGTTTTTATGTATCTTCATTCCTCCTATAAGCATAAAAAGACATAAATATATGTAACTATTTTTTCAGTGTAATGTTTATATGCAACTCCTTTTGTAATATGATGTCTCTATATCTCTTTATTTAATTTACTCTCTACCTCCCACGTTTCTCTCATTCTCTCTCCACATTTCTCTCTCCATTAGTGTCTTTCTACCTTCCACATTCCTCTCTTTCTACCTTGCATAGTCCTCTTTCCCTCTCATATTTCTTCCTCCTTTTTCCCTCTCATATTTCTTCCTCCCACTATGTAACAGGTAATTAATCTATCTAAGTCATAACTCTTTAGATCTCTCCTATAACTTCTCTCCTTTCTCACTCATCACTCCTTTTTTAAATCTCTCCCTCAATATGAAAGTCAAATTGCCCGGATGAACGTGCTAAATATTCATTGACTGCAACCAATATAGCACTCAATTTGTGTCTAAGCAAAATCAAAATTAATATAAATTGATAGAATAAAGGGTTTTGTCAAATTATGGACCTAAAAAGATGGGCCTCATGACCTATCATCTATGGTCCCAAGTTGCACTAGCCAAAGGTTCACCAAACCAGATTCAAAGAATTGAAAATGTTTGAGATTAAGAGTGACTAATGGTAAGCATATGACTGTAAAAATGAGAATTAGAAGGCTGCCTACTTGGTTAAGCCGAGCCTATAGACCCAAGACCTGCAATTGGGGCTTGGATCAGACTAAGGTGGTGTGAATTGACTGTTCACCTTTTGTTCATACTCGTTATTCTTTTTGTAAAAATTCTATGTTTTAAAAATACTGATCCGGATTGGAATTGCAGGATCTGGACCGAAAATCAATGGAACCGATCCGGTTCCTTTCAAAAACCATGTTAGGACCCTTTGTTTGATACTTAAATCTAGGCCTTAAAATGATCTTTTTTTCTAAATTTTTAAAATAACTTTATTATCACTAGATTAATAATGTTAAAAAAAAAAATTTAATTTTGAATTCATTATAACCTAAATATTGATATTCACCAAATAGATGGACTAGATTCATTGTTGAATGGAACTCATTTTGCCCATGTATAGGGTGCAAATTAAAAATTTTATTTTTTTGAGATTGATTATTGAGATGAAGAGAGTGTGTATGCAAAATTTTACGTCATACAAATACAACAACTATGGTTTTCTAAAAATGTGGTTTCATTATATTAGAACGACATATTGATATGATATCATTTTCCATATACAAGCAGGCGTAGATCCACTTACCTATAACTACATATGAGCCCAATGGCTCATATTCAATATGGGCCGATCTATTGAGAGAGGGAGAGGGAGAGGGAGATGATCGTCTCAACTCACAACCATCATCTTTGCCACTCTCATTGAAGCATTAAAAGAATTGGGCAGAATCTGGTGGGGAGTTTGACATTACTATATCAATTTCTTATGTGAATAGCGATACTTGACATGTGAGCTATGGATGCCTCAGTGAATTCCAAGATGTTCAATGCCAAAGAAAATGTAAAAATGCAGCCATGAAAGAAACTAGAAAAGTTAAAAGAGCCAAGATGCTCAGAGAAAGGTGACAACATGGTACTTCAGCCAGCATTTAGATAATAGACAACATACAAAATATTGTTAAATTGTTAATGGATATAAATGGACAAAAACATGGCCAGGCTTCTCTGATTACTCATCACCCATGGCTAGTTCCAATGCATAGTCATCCCTTTCCTGTGCCAAATTCAACATTCGAAAGGAATGAAGGTTAATGTCAAGCACAATGTCTAAAGATAACATACAAATGAGAGAGAGAGAGAGAGAGAGAGAGAGAGAGAGTAGTTCGTAGTAGTAGTAGTAGTAGGTAAGGTAACGGACTACTACAGTACGCCGTACGGACGAATACTACTACTAAGTGACGACTAACTAACTACGTAACGAAGTATATAG